GTTGTTGCAAATGACAGTATTTCATCTTTTTTATGGCTGACTATAATTTTCAATTAGTTATATTTCAAAATATTCAAAGATCATCTTTCTTTCTTAGAAGTGGACACCGGTTGCTTTCATAACAATCATTGTTTGCACCTGCTGTTGCTACAAATACTGCTTTCTACTACTGGATATCTGCTCATGTGTCCTTTTACAAATTCCAGACATGTTTATTTAATGTCTCATGTGCAAAACACTGTAAGAGTTCTAAGAGGGGGAGTGGGTATATGCAGATAATGAAACATGGTCTCTGCTCTCCCTGTGGCTTAGGACCTAGGGAGGGACCAGGCTCAGACACACATGGTAGTGGGTGTGAGGAAGAGGAGCGAGTGCAGATGGGGTTCAGTGAAGAAATGTTGGTCTCAAGTTTCCACATGGGGAGTACTTGGAGCTACAACAAGCAAAGCCCAAAGTCTTCCAGGTCTGGGAAAAATGAAGACTCTGGATAGAAAGTATCCTTTAGATTCCTTCTCAGGAGGTAGAGGCCAGAATTCATACACTACTCCCTCTCATCCCAAATATCTTGGAAGCTTCTTGAAAATTTCCTCCCTTCCCAAGTGAAGCCAGTTGACTTCATGTCTGAGATGTTTACATTCCTACACTCTCTCATATGTCCTGTCAACACGTAGAACTAATGATTGCTAGGCGAAGGAGTCCTCATATTCCACTCAATATATTCCATCATCTACATCAAACGGATACGTTTAATCTCAGATTAGCCACAACAGTATGGTGTTTGATACAGGAGTATAGAGGATTTATTACAAGCACTACCTGGATTTATTTATTTTTTTTAATTAAATCTTTATTGTTCAGATTATTACATTTGTTCCTCTTTTTTCCCCCCATAACTCCCCTCCTTCCAGCTCCCACCCCACCCTCCGCCCTCACTCCCCACCCACTGTCCTCATCCATAGGTGCACGATTTTTGTCCAGTCTCTTCCTGCATCTCCCACACCCCTTTCCCCCCCAAGAATAGTCAGTCCATTCCCTTTCTATGTCCCTGATTCTATTATAATCACCAGTTCACTACCTGGATTTAAATGTGGAATCTGCTTTCCGCTTTATCAACCTGACCTGGGGGAAGTCACGCACTAGCCTGGTGCCTCTGTAGTTATTTCCTTTTCATTTATAAAATAGAATAAATCTAGAACTTCTGTAAAATGGTTATTACAAGTCATATGGTTAAAGGTCTTACATCACTCTTAAAAATGTGCACGCAAGGCGCTGGGGGCTCGAGTTTCACTGTTTGGAAACAGGGGTTTGAACTTGGCCAAGCTTCCTTTAGAGCTGAGCCTAGACTTCTCCTTGACTCTCTGTGCGCTGTAGTTGCATCATGTAGTCAGGCAGAGATCCAGGCCACCACCGAGTCAGCATGGGACTGGTCCTGCGGAGGAGGAGGGAGGAAGGGTCAGGCCTGTTCCCGCCTGTACCTCCTCCTGGGGCGGGGATCCTACTGGAAGGGCTCCTGTCCTCCTTGGCCTGGTTCATCTCAGGGGGGTAGGGGGCTGGGGCTGGTTGATGTCTCGGGTGTGACCCCAGCTTCTGCTGGGCCACTTTGAGCTCCTAGACCTCACCAAGGGACACTCTGGAATTTCTACTTCTTAAGAGACATAACTTAAAAGATATGTCGCCCTTTATTAGCAACTAAACTAGTAGGTATCTGCTGTATACCACAGGTAGTAATTGACTACAACTGGAGACTTATTATGCAAAGGCTCAGTTGTGGCAGACAGCTTTTTGAAAGTAAGTTGTCAAGAAACAGAGCTTTCTAATCATAAGAAATAATATATGATGACTATAGAAAATTTAGAAGACACAGTGCACTACATAAAAAAATTAAAATCACCTTTAATTTCACCAGCCAGAAATAACTATTGTTAAAATTATTTTATGCATTTTCGTTATGTCTTCTAAGTATACACACACATATGTAATTTTTAAAAAAATATATTTTATTGATTTTTTACAGAGAGGAAGGGAGAGGGATAGAGAGTTAGAAACATCGATGAGAGAGAAACATCAATCAGCTGCCTCCTGCAAACTCCCCACTGGGGATGTGCCCACAACCAAGGTACATGCCCTTGACCAGAATCGAACCTGGGACCCTTGAGTCTGCAGGCAGATGCTCTATCCACTGAGCCAAACCGGTTAGGGCCACATATGTAATTTTTAATGCAAAAAATCAAGGAACCCTTAAGTGCATTACAGTAAGAAGGGGAAGTCCCTAAATATACATGTACATTTATATATTTTTTTAACCTACTGGGATACAACTAATCTTGTGAGCATGACTCTTTCTTTATTGTTTGTTTGGTTGTCTTAGTGTTTTATTTTCCCCTTAAGTTTGTTTCTTAGCAGAAAATTACATGTAAATTATTTCCCATAACAGGTGAACATTTACTATAAAATTTCTTCTAGACAGAACGGCTTTTTAAACACTAGAAGCTGATGAGACCAAGAGCATGACAGCATGTTAGGCTGCTACGTTCTTGAAATGGATGTAATTAGGGTGAAAAATTATAAATCTGAGGTTTCAAAACTTCTTTTTCTGTCTCAGAAACACTAAGGCATACCTTGTCTTCTCTTTCCTGACTCAGTTTCTCCACACGTGAAGAAGGGATAATAGCTCTCAGCGGCTGGATGGAAGCCTTTATTGTATCACTTCTGTGAATTGCTAGACATGTGCAAGGTTCTTGTCATTCCTCTGCTATATGGGAGATGCCATACTAGTATACATTGGAGGCACTCATACTTATTAATGGGGTGAAAAACACTTTATTATTTGTAGGTATCTGGGGAGGGTGCTCAACAATTTATGACTGAAATTTATCTTGAGAGAGAGAGAGAGAAAGAGAGAGAGAGAGAGAGAGAGAGGAGAGGGGAGGAGTGGGGAGGGGAGGGGAGGAGAGGGAGAATATGAATGATTCTAAGCATGCTATAACAAAGCTCCTTTGAGTTGTTCCTGGGAGTGGCTGGGTGTGTCAAGCCATTCCTCAGCCCGAATGCTGAATAATCAAGTTATAATGTTTGCAGTATTTTAACCTATAGGTAAGAAAAAGCCCCGACAGAAGAGTCTCCTAGGTTATTAAATATTTGGGCTGATGATTACTTTCGTTGAACTACAGGAAATTATTGTTTGATAAATTTGTATGATGGATGAATGGATAATTCATTCTTTAAGCTATATGTTTTCCCTTCAAAAGAAAACAACTACTCTTTTTTAATACACAGTAATAACATAGTTTTGTGGCAAATAAAAAAAGAAGAAACATTATTTTTGGAATTATAGAGCAAATGCTTCTTCCTACAAACAGGCATATCATTTCCAACTGGATATTTTAAAAGAAACATTTATTTCCAACAGTCAGAATTATGTTTGCGCTTCCTTGGGTATTGCTGAATTCCTGTCGCTGGAAGTGTTTCTGTCCGGGTTAGACAAGCACTGAACAGGAGTGTGACAGGGAATCTAGCCATCAAAAAGGAGAACAGACAAAGCTCTCCGATGTAAGTCCAAGTCTCTTAAAATCTTTGGGTCACAGTAGCAAGCATGCAGCAGGTGTTCAACAAATGATTCTAGTGACTTAGATGTGTGAATATCCTGTACTGGCCTTTTGGCCATTTTGACATTCCCTGAGGCTGTGCCTGTCTGAGGAATAGTGGAAGTGGTGATAATCACCACCATTATTAGGGAACACATGCTATGTGCCGGGCACTCACATGGATTGTCTTTTCATGTATATACATGTTCCATTTTACAGATGAGCAAGTTGAGCCTTGATAGGATCAGTACTTTGTCTAAGATTTATCAAGTGGTGAGTGGTGGAGTCAGTGTTCAAGTTTATGATGTGGCCCTCACACCCACTTTCCCCACTATAGCTGGATAGTGAGATTTTTGAGAAGAATCCTGTCCACATCACTGACCTTCTTTCCTCCACTTGCTCCAATGATACCCCAAATTCTACTGTTGGAGTTTAACTCATTGCGTTTATGACTTTGATGCTGGTTAATAATAAAATACCTAGTGCCTGGAAGGAAGGAAATCTATTAGTCATTCTTAGTTTAGCAAAATGAGTTGCTGTTATTCATCTGGTCAACAAGCATTTATTGACTCCATACTGTATATCAAGTCGATACCAAATGCTGGTGTTATAAAAAGAAATGAGGCTTGGTCTTTGCCTTTAAGATGCTTGTATTCAGATAGAGGAGAGCATAAACGACATAGATTATTTTAAAACAATGTAGTAAATGAACAGAAGGGAATTAGGTGAGCACAGCAGAGAAGGAACTGGCTCATTTCAAGGTCCTTTCCTGAGTAGATTTGGTAGGAAGAGAGGAGGAGATCCCACTGCATGATGGATCTGCAAGAAGTCAGGACAACTGTCATAGACACAAAGAGCGGGCTCAGCAGAGAGCTTTCAGGGCAGAGCTCTGTAAACCAAATCACCAAATTTTATTGGTAACCCCATCAAGCGATTTCTCTTATCAATTTGATACTATTTATTTTGCTAAATATAATTTATTTGATATGTCCTCTTCTTTTGTGACCACCTTTTTGTTTAATAGGTCGATAGCTCTTTGGTATCTAACAGAATGAGCTACTGTAATTTACATGGAAAGGATGGAGGTTAGGGTGTTTTTTGTGGCACAGCCATATTTGAGAAGTATGAATTATTTACAACCATCACATGTGCCTTCTCTTTCATATAATAGTTCACCTTCTGATTCCTCATGGGTTACTAGGGTTGCTCTTATGTATATATTAGGCCAAGGCAGGATTTTTTGCAGCCCCTTCCTGCCTGAGCATGTAGGAGGCCTTTGGAAGCTGTACAGGCAACAGCAGCTTCAGCCTGAATAATTTCTTCAATCTTGGAGAAGCTGCCAGGAGACATGAGTAAGAGCTGAGCATGCAGAAGTGGGAGGGACGAGAGTACAGGTGGGGCGTGGCCTCAGCGGGAGTGGCCGGGGTTCAGGTGAGCAAGCTGGCTGCTCTGACCACAGAATTGCTTCCACAGCGAGGTCCTTCTCTGAGCTTGGCTTTCCTTTTCCCTTGCTGTGTGTTTTCCAGGATAACTGCAACTCCAGGTAAGCAAAGTGGGGGTGGCAGGGCTGGTGAGTTCCCTTTACAGGGCAATTCTTAACACAAAAGAGGTGTTGGAGCTGATTCAAGATAGTGAACAAAGTCAACATAAAGGGTTATTTTCAAGGTTAGGCTGTGGGCTTGGGGACTGTTGTCCATCACGCTGCACACGGGCAGCATCTCCAGCTCTCAGTCCTTTGGGAACCAGGAAGCCATATAGGGAGAGAAATCACTTAACCATACAAGGTAAGAATCTGAAAAAATAACATGGCTGGGAGGATTTGGTGGTGGTGGAGGGGCGGGGGGAGGAGGGGCATGGGCACAGCAGTGATTGATGGAGAAGGAAGTATTTCTGAGCACACTTTTGGGCCTTGGAATTAAGAATGAATTTTGAAATGCTTATTTCAGAAAGGGCCTGATACTCAAAACCTGGAGAAAGTGGCAACACATTTGAATGTCTGACTCACCTTCCTGGTTGGTTTTGTGTGCTTTAAGATTCAGACTTCAAAACTGCTCTTCTTCTTGGCATTTTTAAGCATCTAGTCGGTGTTCACTTACTTGAAACTGCCTTCTTCTAAGCAGAATGTATTCTCCCTCCCTGTTTCTGGGGTCTAGGATACTTGAAACAAGTTATAGATTTCAAATATGTATTCTTGGGCAACTTTTCAAACAGGTTGGCTCATCGTTTCTTTTTTTACAGTGGCTGCTGTTTATATGGCTTCGTTTAAGAGTATCATATTGAAGATTAACTTAACGTGTCAGGCTGTTCTGTAGACTCAGATTCAGAGCTGAGGGGTCTTAGACGTATTTCATCTCAGTTCTTCGTTCTGTAGATGAGCGTGGCTCACAGAGGTGACGACGTGGTGTTCTAAGTCACACAGCTTATAAGTGGCAAGATAATTAGAATTCAGGCCTTCAAACTCACAGCTTGTGGAAGTTTCCATGACAACATGGGTATTCTTAACAGCCTGTCATCCCCTTCATCACTCTAAAGGTTTGATAGAATTAGGTGGGTCTCAAGACTCAGTCCCTATCAGTAGGTGAAAGAATTGGCTGACTTCCTTGATTGGGGGAGAGAGAGATGGAAGCCAGCCTGAAGAAAATCCCAGAAAATGACTCAGGTCTACATCTTTGCTTCTTAACACTTTGAATTCTGCCACTTCAATCCCTCTGGGTTGTGGGTTGACTTTGAGGGTTGCAACCTCAGCAATCTTGGTCATGCTGGCGTGGCCAGTCTGGCTCTAGTTTGCTGTTAGGCAGCAGTGGGATGGCTCAGTCGTCAAGATCAGGCTTCTGAACAAACAGGAGGAGATAGGACATCTCACAATATCAGAGCAAAGTAGAGGTGCTCAAGCCATAGAAAATTAGGCCCTGACCTTATTACTAATAGCAGCCTTGTCCTTTCCTGCTAACAAAGGTCTTCCTGTATATGTTTACTCCTTTCGTCAATTCCTTTAATCCTGACAGTCTCTCACACTGCAGAAGCTCCAAGGTCTCCTATTTTCTTAACCTGGCTGTGTGTTTTTTTCCTCTTGAAATTGGAATATGGACAGCAGAAGCTGTGTTTTTAGGCATCTGGTGATAGTTACTCTAATAGGCAAGATTCCTCAAGGCCATTGCTTAAGGACTGGCTACACCAAATACTTAAGATTATTTTTTTCTCTGCATTTTTCTTCATATGTCATATGGGGCAGGTTAGCATGAATGACAACCACAATCACCTGACACAGTGAAAAGAATTTTAAGTAATGAGAAAGCTGTGCACCTGGCTGTGTGTGTGCATGCACGCACACGTGTATAGAGAAGAGTGTGGTGGGTGGTCTGTAGGGAGGCTGAACATATATTGTTCAGTACAGAACATGATTGAGAATGAAGGGGCATGTCAGAACAGCAAACATTATCCAGGACTGTCCCAGGCAGTGGGACATATGGTCAACCTGTCCCTAGAGCATTTATCTCAATCAAATGGTCTACCAACAAGTTTGAGGACCATTGGCTTAGATGCACTAAAGACTCTGGGAATCTTTGTGCAGGGGCTGTAAGTCTAGAGAAGTGAGCATGCCTGATCCTGCTCATGTTCTCGTGCACGCCCCTCCATTCATTTGGGATTGCTTGCAGTCTTTCTGGCCCACATTTTTTTCATAGCTAACTCCCACTTGTCTTTAGGACTCACCTTTAGTGTGACTTACTTAATGGCACCATCTCTGAGGAAACCTCACTGAGATTTCTATGATAAGTGAGCTCTCTCCCTCTCTCGTAAGGGTTCCCATGACAACCTGTGCTCCCCAAGAAAATGCCCAGGACTCATTACACACATCATGGCATTAGGCTGACAGCTGCTTGAAGGCAGGACCTGTGCTGGGTTCACCTTTGATTCCTTAACACTTAACTCAGTGCCTGACATGCATTTGGTACTCAGTTAATACTTTTTAAATGAAAGCAATATAACATTAGTCATTGGCCACATAAATGGCAGGAAGAGAACAAGAGATTCTCCAGGGAGGAAATGAGAGAAAAAAAAGTTTGTATTGATTTAAAAAAAGAAGCAAAGTACCTTGGTATCTCTAAAGGGTAATTCAGGACATGTAGGAGTTTTGGAACTCTAAAGACTTGTGGGAGAAAAAACATCAGCCAAGACACAGTTACTGAGGGTGGGGATGTGGTGTGGTTGGATGCACCAGGCTGGGTGCTGGGAGAAGTGAATGCTGGGGCTGGTTTTACCACTGTCACTCCCTTTGTGGGTGGCCTGGAGAATCCCTTCATCTTTGTCTGCCGCACTCTTCTCATCTGTAAGAGGAAGAAACGGAGCCAGACTAGATCCATGCCAAAATCTTGTCCCACTCTAAAGGTTTATGATTTTGGGACATATCGCAAAAACCAGGCAACTTAGTGATAAATTCTTACAGCTCTTTGTTGTTCATTTGTTGCATTTGAATTATTACTTAAATTTCCATTTCACTCTTTTAAACTTCTAAGTGACAAAAACATGCAGTATTTTCTACATTGGAACTGTAACTAAAATTATCTTTGTTATACTTATTCGAAGGTTTTCGTGAAGACCAAAGAAGTTATCTCTGTAAGAAAGTGATAATAAAATGAAAAAAAGTCTGTGGCAATTTTAGCACTCTGAGCAGAAGTCATTAGAAATGTAAATTTACTCTGCAGATCTTGCTCATCTCTACTCTTATATCCATAATTTTTAGAGTATTTGCTACTAAAATGGTCCACGTTGAACCTGATGGTTTTTCCTGTGTGTGTAGCTCACATTGCTAAGATCTGCTTAAATGCTTTGACTGCCGTGCAGCACGGGGAGGTGGCCACTCACTGTGGCCCAATCATCCCTTGAACTACCTTAGCCTAGATCAGCTCTGCAGTGTTTTGGGGTCACTTGGGACCAATCACTGAACAACTGGTCATATTTATCTGACAACATCTGATTGAGGAGTTAGCTGGTGATTGTTTGCTTCTATAGCAATTCCCATGTCCAGACCTCTTCTTTCTTTCTTTCCTTCTTTCTTTCCTTCTTTCTTTCCTTCTTTCTTTCCTTCTTTCTTTCTTTCTTTCTTTCTTTCTTTCTTTCTTTCTTTCTTTCTTTCTTTCTTTCTTTCTTTCTTTCTTTCTTTCTTCCTTCCTCCTTCCTCCCTCCTTCTCCTCCTTCTTCCTTCCTTCCTTCCTTCCTCTCTTTCTTTTTTTTTGCAGTGCTTTAATTCTTTATCGTTGAAAGTATTTGTCCAGACCTTTTCTGATACCTTTGTCAAGCATCAAACAACACTGTTGTTGCTGGGACCTCAGCTGTTAAGGGCTGCATGAACTTCCTCAGCCTGAAGGAGAATTTTCTGAGAAAGGAGATCGTCAGCACATGGATGGGAGGCAGGCCTGTTGGACACATGCTCTGAGGATTCTCATGCAAAGGAAGGGACTCTGAAAGGAGGGTCTGCACCCATGAGAAAGCCTCAGGTGTCAGGTGTGCTCTGATGAACATTCTCCAACAGCCACTTGAATCTATATCTTGAATTGCAACACAGTGTTAACTATGTTGTGTAATGAACTGTACAAAAAGCCAACTGTACAAAGTAGCTTGTATTCAGACAGAACTACTGAGACTAAGTGTATCTCAAAATGTTATAATGAATAATAGAATAAGCTTTGGTGGGACAAAACGGTAACACGAACATTTCCTTACTTTTTGGTATGCTTTGAGGTGTTTGTAGTCAAACTCCCTTAGCACAGTACTCCCAGGTCTTAAACACAGGTTTTCTACACAAAGGAAGTCAAACGTTAAAAGGAAAGCTTGTTATTGATTATGCAAAATTGTTGGAATTGCTCTCTTTGAGGATAGTGAATGCATTCTGGGAAGAACTACTTGTGTTTGTTAAAGCACAATTGGTATGTTTCAGGTTATTATTTATGTGATTAGGCCTCAGTTGTTGAAGCTTTGAGAAGTTTACAGGGATCTGGGCAGAGCCTTCTATATTTGGTGAAAAAACAGCTCATTCAAGCTTCTCAATTTGGTTGAGAAATAGCTCATGTTAAATTTTATTGTAGACAAACTCAGCATTATCAATGTTAAATTTGCTCCTGGAGAAAGGACTCCCTCAAATCTTTTGTGAATTTTCTTTTTATTTCCTCATGATGGACACACTGGTCCAAATACTCTGCACGCTCCCATTTCTGTCTCATTGTCCTCTGTACACCTCATGCTGGTCTCTGTGACTGGGGTGTGCAGTCGTCCCTTGGCCTCTGACCCCACCCCAGAAGAAAGAATAAGCCTGTGAGCTATCCACCCTGACTTTAGATGACCTTGAGATAGGTTTGCAATGAGAACACTGATCTGAGTTCTGTTAGCTGTGCTTGTCAGGGACATAAAGTAAAGGAGGAAGAAGTCTTTGGAGGTGACCAGTGAGCATGAACAGGGTCACAACCTGGTGACTTAACACAGAAATGTGTTCTCTCACAGTCCTGGAGGCCAGAAGTCTGAAATCAAGGTCTCGCAGGGCCACGTTCCCTCTGCAAGCCCTAGAGGAGACTATTCCTCGCCTCTCTCTTGGCTTCCGGGTTGCCATCCATCCTTGGTGTTCCTTGGCTTGTAGAAACATCACTCCAATCTCTGCCTGTTGTCACATTGGTGTCTTCGAATCATCTTCTCTCTGTGCCTGTCTGTCTCTGTCTTTCCTCCTGTTCTTTCTGATAAGGACACCAGTCATATTGGATTAGGACCTCAACTTAATCTATAAAGACCCTATTTTCAAATAAGTTCACATTCACTGGTACCCAGGGATGGGACTACAACATATCTTTTTGGGGAAACACAAATTCAACCCATAACGCCTACTATTAAACTGAATCACACAAAACTGCTGTGACTTGACTGTTTTTGATGTACAAAAATGCCAGTTTTGTATGCTTTAACCTCAATCCTATTTGAAACAATATGGATAAATAAAACCAACTGATTCTGTTCAGTGCCGTCAACTGCTCTGACCACTTGCTGAGGAAGAGGTGTGATCACTGGGCTCCTGACAGTGGTCATTGTGGCTGAGTATGCTTGAATTTGAAGATTTCGGGCAGAGCTGCTCACACTGAGGACCTCAAAAGCTGGGCCATTCAGATCTTAGGGTATTTGCCCAGAAGTGTCTTCCCCACTGGCTTTTTAAATTGCATTTAATGCAAAGTTCCTTCTTCTCTTCTATTCAAGACCATTACTTTGTTTAGATGGACTTTTTTTTTTTTTTAGGATTTTTAAAATTGATTTTTAGAGAGAGAAAACGGGAGGGGGAGAGAGAGAGAAAAACATAGATGTGATAATGAAACATTGATGGCTGCCTCCTGCACACCTCCCTACCAGGGATTGAGCCCGTAGCCCGGGCATGTGCCCTGACCTGGAGTTGAACCAGCAACCATTTGGTGCATGGGACAATGCCCAACCAACGAAGCCACACTGGGAGGGTTGTTTAGATGGAATACTTATTGGGGTGGCAGAATTCAGGTGAGAAGACTTTAAAGACCCTTATCCTTTGTTTCAGGCCCACGATGGATGCCCTGCAACTGGCAAACTCTGCTTTTGCAGTTGATCTGTTCAAAAAACTCTGTGAAAAGGAGCCAGCAGGCAATGTCCTCTTCTCTCCCATCTGTCTCTCCACCTCCCTGTCACTTGTTCAAGTAGGAGCCAAAGGTGACACAGCCAATGAAATTGGACAGGTAAGCCCCACACCTTGTTTCTACTTAGAGCAAGACTAGAGCAGTGGTTCTCAACTTTCTGGCCCTTTAAATACAGTTCCTCATTCATGTTGTGACCTAACCATAAAATTATTTTCATTGCTACTTCATAACTGTAATGTTGCTACTGTTATGAATCGTAATGTAAATATCTGATATGCAGGATGGTCTTAGGTGACCCCTGTGAAAGGGTCGTTTGACCGCCAAAGGGGTCGCGACCCACAGGTTGAGAACCGCTGGACTAGCGTTATTAGAACCCATGGGCAGTGCCTAAGGAAGGATGAATGGGGCTCTGTGGTCAGAGATGCTCAGGATTGAGAGTTGTGCCACTACTAACACTCTCAATCTACTCTCAAATGTGAACGAAAGCTTACTTATTTGTCCTGCAACCCTGGTACCATGTGTGGTGGAGAACCTGGGGATGTTCTAGGTAATCACAAGTTTTCCACTAATGAGTGGGCTTTGGCAAGTCATCCAACATCTTTCTATGTGCTATACTGTAAGAATCAACCAAGGTGGTGTTTATAAAATGTTCCACTGCAAAAACCCCAACCAGAAATAGTAGAAATCTATATCCCTGTGTTGTGCACAACATTTATTTACAGCATAATCTTTATTAGTTTTTACTGAAGTATAATGGACATTCAACATTATATTGGTTTCAGATATCAATGATGATTGATATTTGTATATATTGCAAAATGATAATCACAGTAAGTCTAATTAACATCATACATAGTTATAGAATTTCTTTATTTTTGTGATGAGAAATTTTAAGATCTACTCTCTTAACTTTCAAATATGCAACACAGTATTATTAACTATTGACACCATGCTGTATATTGACACCATCCCCAGGCCCTATTTTATAACTGGAAGTTTGTACCTTTTTACCCCCTTCACACATTCCTCTCACCCCACCCCCATTTACTGTTAGATGGTAAGTGAACACCCCTCTCATTCCATTCCATAAATATTCTTTAGTTGATTATCCTAGGTTTAACAGACTCTTTATTTCCATGAACTCATAGCATTTAAAAAGGGAACATCTTGTATCTACAAATCCTCAGAAAGTATGACCCATGAAGTCTTCTTTGGGTCCTGATAATTGAAGAATTTACACTTGAAATTGCGTGCACTTGAAAAAGAACCTTCAACTGTGGGAAGAGGAGCTGTCTTTTCACCTGTCCTGCTCTCTCATCCTCCCCCTCCCCCCAAATCTCTACCCTATCTCCAATTTCTCATCTCCCACTAGAGAGGGGACAGAAGAGACAACTTCCTGGGAGAAGGTCTTTTCCTCAGCAATAATAATAAGGGTGATGTACATGCAGTCGTTCCTCCAGCAGTAATTACCTGATTTTAAAATTTTCTGGTCCTTTTACCTGTCAGCAGGCATGAGAGTTATTCACTGCCTTGGACTAGCCAATGTGACCTTGCAATAGTGGGGCTATGCTACTCATTGGTGCCATGTGCCCATTTAGTGATGTTACCTGAGGTGTGGCCTCCAGGCACAGTTATGAGTTAGGAGGAGAGAATTGCCTTGTGCTGACGTCATGTTTTGAGGCACCAAGAGGCAGAGGAGATGCTGGGCTATTGATTGGGACAGAAGAAAAGTTAGGAACAAATGAAAAGGATTTAAGCCCTCCAGAAGATGACATTCTAGTTGTAAATGGCTTAGAAAGAACATTTTTAATTGATATACTTTAGGTGTTTTATGTATAATATCTGTAATCCTCATAACAACTCAGAAAAGTAGGTATTTCTAGTACAGTTTACAGAGGGGAGAGTGAAGCTGGGCAGAGCTGGGCTAGATTAGATTTCGAGTAGATATAGGCTGGGACTCAAAGGCCAGGTTGTCTGACTCTTGCCCACCCAGGGAAGCCCACCGTTGATGGTAAATGACACATCAGCCCATTTGGCACTTGTCAGAGGAACTAAAGGGACTAGATAGATCCTGGCTAGAGACTCCTCTACCCTGGAATCTGATACCCGCCTAATGATAGTCTCTTTTGCTATAATCTTTCTCTTCTTGTGTCTGAATTACATGGAAATTGTAACCCAGTTTCACTCTTTTCCAAGTTTGGGGAGCCTCTGTGTGAGCATTAGAGGCATCATTTTGAAGAAAGGATAAATTTTCCAATAGTTAAATCCAGAGAAGAATATCTTTATGGCAGAGTTTCCCAATGGGGACAATTTGGCCCTATTTTATCTACAAATCCCCAGAAAGTATGACCCATGAAGTGGATATTTGGCAGTGTCTAGAGACATTTTTGATTGTCACAAGTGGTACCTAGTAGGACAGAGATGCTGCTAACATCCTACAATACCCAGATATCTAGGACAGTCCCCGAAACCCCTCACCTGGCAGCCGAGAATACCCTGCCCGGAATGTCAGCAGGGCCAAGGTGAGAAGCCTTGCTTCATGGGACAATGGAGCAGGGAGACACTGCACCCCCACGGATGAGGGCAGGTACCATGTCCCCTGCAGCAGCAAGACACATGCTTCATGGGTCGTGGATTTTTTTTCTCTTCACAGGTCCTTCATTTTGAAAACGTCAAAGATGTGCCCTTTGGATTTCAAACAGTAACGTCAGATGTAAACAAACTTAGTTCCTTCTATTCGCTGAAACTGATCAAACGGCTCTATGTGGACAAATCTCTGAATCCATCTACAGTAAGTGGTTCAATGCCATTAACAAGATTTAACTTTTTCCCAGGATTGTCACTGTCACAAGGTCAGACTCACAGTTTTTTTTAATTTTTTTTATCCAGTAAAACTCACCTCTAGGATGCTCATTTATGGTTAGAGGCTAATTGAAATAACTCAGTCCTAGCGGAGAGGTTGAATATAGTGGGACTTAATTGTAGTCACATCTTCTAGCTCAAAATACAGAGAAGCTCACGGGCTTCTCTGGTCCCTCTCAAATACTCATATATCCTCCCCTTCCTCTTAGCTTCCTCATTTGGAGAAATGGAGAATAGAGTCACTAATAATGTATCTCCATGGATGCAAGGCAGCTCAGGGTTCACACCTTTCTTAAACAGCAAGGTACAAGGCCTCATTGTTTATGCACACAACGTTCTTCTGATTTTCTCAAAATCAATACGAAAAATAATGAACTATGAGTCAACAGTTTTCATCAGTCACACATTGTTTTTGTTCGTTTTCCTAGGCTGGCCATGAAGGTGTCTAAATAGGTAGTTCTGTGTATTTAATTCCAGCCATTTCTTGAAGGTTACTGGGGTTCCCTTAACTTTGATCCCAGAGTATAACATAATATTTTAAAAATCTGTATTTGAAACATATAGCTAACATCCTAGACTACAAAGAAGCTCATTCTCTATGTTAGTAATATAGAGTTGATTTAATTTGTGCTTGGATGGACAGAATTTTAAGCTTTCAAAATTTTAAAAGGTAGACTACCAGTTAAATATTTCACCATTTACTTTTTGCAGTAGCTGTTTGAGGACATTGGTCACTAGATATTTATTCTTGTTGTTGAAAGTCACACATACACAGCCATTTTTCTTTCAACAATCACCCACAGAACTGAAATAAAATATTGAGATGTGAGTTAGGACCTAAGTAGAGAAATAATTTAAAAGTTCCCTAGAGGGTCCTTAAGGAGATGTTTAATACATTTTGTGGCTGGCAGTGAGGACTGTGGAGGTCATTAACCTTGCTGAGGCTCCGACGTTCTTGGGTGGTCCCCGTTCTCTCAGTCTTGCTGAGGCTCCGATGTTCTTGGTTGGGTTGCAATGAACACAATCAATTTGGCTAAGGCTGTAGCTGCTCTGAAGAAATTGAAGGAGCCCATGTTAGGACATTTAGCCATCTATGTTCAGTTTGGTTGAACTTCTATTCAACGTTTTGAATTATTTCAACCAAACCAGGAATTGCAAGGAATTTTATTTTAAGACTGCTTTCCATGGCTCCTGTTGGTTGTATAGCACCTGAAAATTCACTCATAATAGTACAAAACAGGTGTGGTATCAGGAGGGCCACCTGAAGCAGAACTACCTGGGTGTTAAAAGTGCAAGCTCCTGGTCTCATATCACTTGAATCAAACTCAATAGGGATGGGATTTAGGGTTTTGCATTTCAGCAAGCAATAGAACTAGAATCACTGCTATGTTCTCTATAGCACTGTTTCAGACTTAATGTGCATCTTGATAGAACGCATGCTCTGACTCAGTAGGCCTGATATTCTGCACTGCCAACAACGTTCCAAGTGATGTTAAAGCTTTGGTACTTGGACCACACTTTGAGTAGCAAGAGCCTATAGAATATTTATTTCAGTGAGAGTAAGAGTTTTCTGCTCATAAAGTTCTCTTTTCTGTACATTTCTTCTATTCTAAGACACATAAATGTATGTACATTTTAATGTTTCTGAAATCATATTATAGCTGTTACATACATTCAACATGGTGTTTCTTTTCCAACCAAAGCTGATACTAAATTGATGAATGCTTTTAATAATTGATATGGTCTTAGAATTGAAGGAATGAAACATTCAATACAAAGAAAAGTCATTGATTCTTCCATGAGGTTTCAATTTACTGAATAGTACAGGTTTTGAAAGCGTATTCATAGTAATCCTATCTAATAAAAGACTAATATGCAAATTAGCCATCACTCCACGACAAAGATGGCGGTGCCCACAGCCAATAGGAGGGAATATGCAAATTGCTGTCACTTCTTGACAAAGATGGTGGTGGCTGGGCCAGGACACAGGCGTTTTGCCCCAACCCGCCGGTGGAGGGCCTCTGGGCCTGCTTGGTTGCCGCTGCCATGGGGACGGAGGAGCAGAGACACAAGCTTTCAAGGGGCCGGGCACCCAGCAGCTCCAAGTCCCGCAGCCGCAGCAGCATTGGGGCCGCTGGGGCTGGAGAAGCAGAGACACAAGCCCACAGGGGGATCCAGCACCCAGCAGCCCCAAACTCCGCCTCGGTACTGGGGCCGCTGGGGCTGGAGGAGCAGAGACACAGCCCACAGGGGGGCCCAGCACCCAGCAGCCCTAAGCCCCATGGCCGCAGAGGCGCTGGGGCCACTGGGGCTGCAGCGGAGACACAAACCCACAGGGCACCCAGAAGCTCCAAGCCCTGCAGCCGCCGTGGTGCTGGGGCCACTGGGGCCAGAGGAGCAGAGACACAGCCTGCAGGGGGCCTGGCACCCAGCAGCCCTAAGCCCCATGGCCGCAGAGGCGCTGGGGCCACTGGGGCTGCAGCAGAGACACAAACCCGCAGGAAACCTGTGGAAAGGAAGATAAACTATCATAACTTTAGATGAGAAAACTGACCCTGATTTATTTAGTGATATGGCCCACACCTTTCTATAAGCACAGGGTATGTTATGACCACTCCCAGGAAGGTCTGGTCAGAATACTGTCTCCAGGGAATAATGCTACTGTGGCAAATCATCTAAGAGAGGAAACAAGCTTTTGTTGGGTTTATTTTGAAGGTCAGAGAACAGGCCACCCCAACATATGCCGTGTTGTTATATTGATGATCTTGAGCTGCAGATGCTTGAAAAACAGCAAATGCAAGGAGAGGCTTTCACTAAAGTCTCCTGATCTGCCTAAAATTGGACCCCCCAAAAGGTCCCCTCAATGGGAAAAGTGTCATCAGCCAGTGAAGACTGACTCCTGTCACAGGACAGGAGACTAGAAGTTGACATCACACCCAAACTTTGTTACAAACTATCTGCCCCACCCCCATTCATCTTTCCTAAAAACAATTTTCTCTCCTCTAAGAGGTCTACATCTCCCGTCCCCTCTCCCTAGGAAGAAGGTATTTAAATCTGGATTCTAAGCCACCTTGGGGAGTTATTCATTTTCCCCTGGGATCTCCCACATATACACTAGGTACATATGTTAATGAACTTTTGTTTTTCTCTTGGTAATCTGTCTTTCATTACAAGGGCCTCTGCTAAGAACTCAGAAGGGTAGAGGAAAACTATTTTCCTCCTCCATAATTCTATCTCTGGAAATCAAGTCCCGGGCTGAACAGTGAGGTTGGCTCAAGTGCCAAGCAGTCCTGGCTGAGGGCAGGGAAGCTTCTAGGGGGAAATCAATGATATTGGCATCAAAGTAGGACAGAGGGCACACACATGGTTGCTGGTGGGAGTTTAAAGTGGTTCAACATTTTTGGAGGATGATTTGGCAAAATCGATAGAAATGTTCAAGGTACATCCAAGAGTCTTCTTCTAGGAATCTCATATGCTGAGATAAAGCACAAGTGCATAAGCCCTGGTCAGAACCCAGGATGCTACTATGGGCTCCCTTTCCATGATAGGAAAACCTGCTAACAACCTGCATTTTTAGAACAAGGTGGCATCTATACTAATAAAAGGGTGATATGCTAATTAGACTGAACATCTTCCGGACAAAGCCATAGTGGCAGGGCTGAGGCAGAGGCAGTTAGAGGCGATCAGGCAGGCAGGGAAGAGCAGTTAGGGGGATCAGACCATCAGGGGAGAGCAGTTAGGGGGATCAGGCTGGCAGGCAGGTGAGCGGTTAGGAGCTAGCAGCCCTGAGGAGTCCCGGATTGGAGAGGGTGCAGGCCAGGCTGAGGGACCCCCTGCTCCCATGCAGGAATTTTGTGCACTGGGCCTCTAGTAGACACATAAAAGTCCTTTTGTTAGAGCCATGTAAAGATGTGATGGTTTGTTAGAGCCAGGTAAAGATGTGATGGTTTGACCACAGACTGCAAGTACTTTGTGATTTTATGAACTGGATGCTTTTCAGGAGAGGAGATGGAAACTGTTGACTTCAAAGATAAATTGGAAGAAACGAAAGGTCAGATCAACAACTCAATTAAGGATCTCACAGATGGCAAGTATTTTTTATCTACTCTGCTTATGTACTTATGTACTTATTCTCATGAATCTTTCTGCTAAGCAAAAAACTTGAACACCTGGGGGACTCCTGAGGTGTTTTTAGTACAGAAGCTAAATTCTTGCCCATTGAACCATTTCAACAACGCAGATTTCTGGACCTTTCCTCCATCACCTTATCACTTGGCAGGAATTCCTGGTGCTTTGTTTTTATTTAGGCAAGTAGACCCTGCGCCCTCCTGGAGCCTCAGCTGTGCCTCTAACAAGTCTGGCTTTAGACAAGTCATGAGTCCAGTTTTTCATTGTAAACCTGAAGGGCTTGGACTATAACTTGATGATCCCTGAGGACACTTTTAGCTCAAACATTCTACAAGTTTTTTAAGGAAAAAGGGATTGAGAGTCTTAAGCAATCAAATATACATAGAGCAAAAGTAAAACAAAACTAACCATAGTGGATGGAAATGTGTCCTCAGTCCCATAGCTCCCCGACCTGGTCGGCCCTCTGCTAGCCCCTGGCTCTTACCTGCAGCATCTACCTGGTCCTGCCTCTGGCTCAGCACTTCCCTCAGTCTCTCCATTCCCTGAATCCTCCCTCCATTACAATTCTGTGAATCTTCCTTGTTGGAAAAGAATTATAAGTAAGATGATTTTGAGTGCAGGTCAGCGTCCACATCCCCGTTCCAGGCACACATTTATATTTACACATGGAGGGACCTGTTGGGACACAGCACTTCATTGTGAGGATGTGAACGACAGTGATGGGTTTTTCAGGCACCACTGCAGTCTGATGAGCGATAGGCTTCTGGGGCAGGGACACACGCTTCCTGTATGAATGGCCAGAGCCACTCTGTGGCTATGAGGGCTCAGGAATGATAGAGTCCATGCCATAGCTTCAGAGTGAGGACATGGAAAAACATTGGCCTTGGAATCTTCAAATCCTCAGGTTCAGATCTAGGCACTGCCACTTATTAACTGAAGTGTTTGGATACAGAGCCTCAGTTTACTGAACTGTAAAATGGGGTATATGTTATATAATTTAATTTTTACATGTTTTTTGTGGGGATGAACTTAGATGATATGTGGTAATCAATAATGTGTGGTAGCCAAGATGGTAGCCATAGATCTGGATGCACACACACACGTATGCATGCATATATATTTGTTATTGAAATGAAGTCCCTATACTTTCATATGTAGAGAGAAAACTGGTATAACATCAGGTTAAACATAGTCACAAGTAAAAAGCAGCTCCTATTTAAACAGTTGTGTAACAGTTTTGCCTTTAGATTTTTTAAATAATAGCATTTTCCCTCTTTGGGCCTTTGTTTTAAAATCTTCATAAATTTAAGGTTTTTACTGGGGAAGTTAGTTCAGTGAAAAGGCCTCTGCATTTGGAATCTGGAGCTCAAGGTTTCAGTTGAAGCCACTTCCCAGCTCCCCCACTTCTCTGGCCTTCGAGTTTCCTCAATAACACTATTACATATTTGACAAGTCTCGTAGCATTGGTGACATAATGTGCAGGTCCCAGAGCAAAGTGAAACTGCAGGGTCCTTTATTTAAAAATGTATTAATTTTAAGATGGTGACAGCAGAGCATTAACCAGTGAAGGGACCTTCACATGCAGGTCACAGGCCTGTGCTGTGGGCCTAGAGATTACGTAAATGAAAATCCCTTGCAAAAACACCAGTGCTATTCGAATAGGAGGACTTAATTTCATTAGGGGGTTATCACCACTGAACTGTTCTGCTGTTGTGACTATAGTGACTACTGTTGCGATAGAGCCTGCTGACCTTGGTGCCAACTGGCTGCCATGTGGGGAGAGGCAGGGAGCTGTGGGTGCAGGGCAGAGTGCTGTCCTGGTTCTGACTTGCTTTCCAGCTGAGCAAACTAGAAAGCTACTTGGCCTCTCTGAGCCTCAGTTTCCTCAGCTATAAGATGGGGATGATGATCCTTGCCTTGCGGGATCACTGTGAGAGACATGAGCTGAAAATGCCGAGCACATCCATGCATTTCCATTCCAGAGCGCAGGTCTCCACCTTTGCTCCTGTGTCCTCTTGGGCACATGACTTTTCACCAAGGCTCTGCTTCCTTGTCTGTAAAAAGGGGAGGAATACACAATAGCATGTATATACATGTCTAGCATGTGGCCTGGCTCAGGATGGGCATTTGGTAGCTTGTGCCTGTCTTCTTCCTCCTCTTCCGTTCTTTTTCCTCCTTCCCCCCTTCATTCTCCTCCTTAGGTGTCTTTGGTAAGACCAGGTGTGGGGAAATGCAAGGAGAGAAAGGAGTCCTTCTGAAATGAGGTGGTCTGGCTCTCACACCCTCCCTGGTGTGGCTCTGGAAGGTGTTAAATACCCAGTGAGTGGACAGGCATGTGCATAGTAGGTGTAGTTGGGAAGAATAACCCTGTGCAATTTGTGGTTTCTACAATTGTTTGCAGGCCACTTTGAGAACATTTTATCCAACAACAACGTAAATGATCAGACCAAAATCCTCGTGGTTAATGCCGCCTACTTCATTGGAAAGTGGATGAAGAAATTTCCTGAATCGGAAACCAAAGAATGTCCTTTCCGAGTCAACAAGGTATGTGGGCAGCGTGTCAAAGGGTCCCAACTATAGATTTGACAATTACAGCCACCGAAGGGACCGTAGGAGTTCACCCCAGTGAGGGAAATGAAGGCACAGTGGTGGCATGCCTTCCCTGGTAGAAAAAGAACCGTAACCCAGAGACTCTCTCTCTTCTCCAGAATGTTCTCAGAGTCTGAGCTGAGTGGGGGCTTATAAAGCTCACAGCCCAGTGGGTAAAGCTAAATCACCCACTGGAAAATGCCTACAAATATTAGGGATGATTAGCAAGAAAGGCAAAGAAACAAACTAAATCCGAACCTCAGAGGCCTTTGAATCATCCTGAAACCTGGGTCATTTGAGGTTCTTGGTCAAGGTCAATACCCTCCTCTGCTCTGTTTCTCATCTGTTCATAGTGAAGTCAATGGTTATGATATTTTAATGTATGAGGTGCTTTGAGACAGTGTTGGCTGTGAGAAACCTGTTTTGCAGGAAAGTCTCATTAAAACTCCTGGGTGAATAATGAGGCCATATCCCATGTGAAAAAGAATTAATGTGAATAGGTAAAGTGCCTCTTCTAGAAAGGAATTCAGAGAACCGAGACTTGAAAATTGACCTATTTCATTCAAGGACCTAGGCCACCCAGAAGTCTATATGATGATGATGTGATTTGGTCTCATTTAATGAGATATGACTGTGTTAAGAATGCAGACTGAATCCCAGGTAGCACAATACCTGAAGGGAGTAAGTTTACCTGGCAGCTCCCATTCATTCATTCTAGTTTGCAAGTTTCTCCCAGCACCTTGAGTACCTAGTATTAATCACTTTTTTTTTTGCCAAATATTATAACACCACCTTTTAAACACTAGAAACCAGGAAGAAAAGACCTTCAAGATACAATTTATACCCGAGTTAGCTGGACTGGCATTTGGTACTTTTTCTTTGTACCCACAAAATTTTATTTTCATTCCCACCTCAGGTGCGCTTTCCAGAGTGAAATAGAATTATATTCTTACTTATCTACATCCCTCTTGAGTGCATGGGCTTTGTAAAGGCAGAGATAATGCCTTATTCATCTCGGTTTCTAACCCCTGGCCCAGGCCCTGGTACATTAGCAGGTGCTCAGCAAATGTCAAATGAATGACCAATCTCTAAGGGTCAGTTTGAATAAACAGTCAATAACAGACCGAACCTGATTGGCCTTTGGGACCACCATGGGTCCCTATACAAGATCTATTCGGCATTTCCATTGGGAGGGGACAGTCATAGCTGAGAGGGCTCCCTACCCTCCTCAAAAACCCAGACATCCTAGGGAGGGCCTGGCCTTTCCGCCACTTCCTCTTCCTAACTCACCTGTACAGTGGCCTTCTCAAAGCTGCCTGCAGGGCAGGACTGACCCTGCACACAGCCGCCAGTCACAAGACATTTGACCCTTTAGACTGTATTTTTCACATACAGGTTCTTGGGTCTTAAACATGGCTTTGAAGTGTCATTGATCTCTCAGTGTTTCACCCAATAAAACAATAAAACAAGACTCAAAGCTGTGTGGGGACACACCCTCCTTTAGAGTGCAAAGGTCATTACTTTTCCTTTGACTTGCTTTTTTCAGCCCCTGAACTTTCTGAGTGACTTTACTAAGCTTCTCCTCATGTCTTGTGGTGTCTCCTTTAAGGATTAGACTAAATTGATGATGTTATAGTATTAAAAGTTTAGGGTAGTGTTTATTCTAACAAAGGTGGATACACACCACAGATTTTTGTATTACTAACCTAAGAATTAAAAGGCCTAATTAGTTTAATTTCCCCCTCTAACAAAGAGAGAGAACAAATATTTGATGTGTTCTATTTTTATTATAACAAGAATAAATGAATGCATATATATATGTGTGTGTGTATAGATATGTGTCTATATATGTGTGCATATGTGTGTGATGTGTTTATATGTATGTGTACATATAAAAGCGTAAGTCATTGTCTTTTATGGAGGAAAATAAGATATATATCTCTATATATACATGCGTGAATGAAAAAGCAAGCAGCCCAGGTTTCTTCTCCTCTTCCAGACGGACACCAAGCCAGTGCAAATGATGAATCTGGAAGCCATGTTCTGCATGGGCAACATTGACAGTATCAACTGTAAGGTCATAGAGCTCCCCTTTCAAAACAAGCACCTCAGCATGCTCATCCTGCTGCCCAAGGACGTGGAGGATGAGTCCACGGGTCTGGAGAAGGTGAGGAAGGAGGTGGGTGGGCAGCACCAAGGTGCCCTCTGCCTTGGCAGAGCCACATGGCCAGCCCTTGAGGGGCTGTCTGCCTTATGCCTCACTTGCTCTGTCATTTCCAAGGTTTGTGGTCCTTTCTGGGCCTTTCTCTTTAATGTTCAAACAGCCAACATTTATTTGGCACTTACAATGTGTGCAGAACTGTAAATTCCCTGTGTGCACGACCTCATTTAACTCTCACAACAGGCCTAGGAATTAGAAACTATCACCACAGCCGTTCCCAGTGAGGGAATTGAGGCACAGAAGGGTAGGTAACTGGTCCATGGTAGGTAACATGACATGGTCATCAGTGGTTTGTAGAATCATATTTGAGCCCAAGAAGTTGGAATTCATGTTCTTAACTCTAGACTAGAGTTTCTTATCATTAGCATCTTGCATCAACACAGCGCATTTGTTAAACAATTGATGAGCTAATATTAATACAGGATTATTTACTAAAGTCCACAGTTTACATTAGGGTTCACTCTGTGATGTGCCTTCTATGAGTTTTTTGTTGTTCTTTGTTGTTAACCTCATCTGAGGATATTTTTCCATTGATTTTTAGAGAGACTGGAAGGGAGGGGGAGAGACGCAGAGAGAGAAACATCTATGTGGGAGAGACACATGATTGGTTGCCTCCCTTAAGTTCCCCGACCTGGGAGGGGATTGAGCTTGCAACCCCAGGACACGCCCTTGACTGGAATCCAACAGGGGCTCCTTCAATCCTCAGGCTAACACTCTATCCACTGAGCCAAACTGGCTAAGGCACATTCCATGAGTTTTGAAAAGTTCTTTTCATTCATACACACATATATGAGATTTAATTATGCTTCGTATTTCATACAGGTTATCAGAGGCACAATATTGAAACACGGTAGAAGTTTTAAGTGCTTGTGAAGGATGTAGCTTCCCCTCTGCTGGTCAGCTTGCTCCTGTGGCCCACTGTTCTCCCTCACTCCCCACTGGCTTCCTAGCTTCCATCCACCTGGGCCTGTCCCGGCCAGGGAGAAGGAGGGAATCTTTGAGGAACTCAGGGGTCACCTGCTGTATTTTCAGTCATGCCTCAGTGACTCCCTCACTTTCGAAGGTTGATCTAACTTAGTCACATCTTATCTGTTACTGCAGCTATCATTATGCTTTCTCTACCATTTGTTCATTGAATTCAAGTCCATCTCCATTCTTCTTTTACTCACCGGTCTCTCTGTTTTACTCCACTTCATGCTTTCCTCTCATTTTTTCCATCAGCCATTATTCAGCGGTCTCCCACTTTACTTAAAATATCCACATAGGTTTGTTTTTTTTTTCATATGATAGAATGAAAGGAGCAAGTTAAGATGTGCTCAATGAACTTTAAAAAAATTTGTTTTATTGATTTTTACAGAAAGAAAGGGAGGGTGAGAGAGAGATAGAAGCATCAATGATGAGAGAGAATTGTTGATCGGCTGTCCCCTGCGTGTGCCCTGACCAGGAACTGATCTGTGACTTCTTGGCTCCTGGGTCATAGCTCAACTACTGAGCCACACTGACTGGGTTCAATGAACAATTTTAAGATGAAACCATATTATGCTTTATTTTATATCTCTCATTACAAATAAAATATTTTGTTGAATCCAATATTTCCAAAATACTATCATTTTAACATGCAATTGCTATAAAAATTATTAATGAGATATTTTACATACTTTGTAATAAGTCTTGGAAATCTGCTGTGTATTTTACACATAGAGCATTTCTCAATTCTTACTGATCACATTTTAAGTGCTTTTCATAGCCATGTATTGGCCACTGTATTGGACAGTATAGATATGGAGGTTTCCTGTTAGGACAGATGAATATTTAGCTTTTATGCAGATTAAGAACATAACCTGCGATTTTTTCGATTTATTGAGGTATAATGAAACAAAATTGTAAGATACTTAAAAACACGTGAGCCCAGTTTAGTGTATAGCAGGATGATTTAATAAATATATAAATTGTAAAAGTTTATTAACACACCCATCACTATATATATATACATATATCTTTTATCTCTTAAAAAATAAACAACTGAAATGGATGCATTCATTGCCTACTCTCCTAAAGAATGATCATAGACAGTTCAAATTTTCATTCTAAAAAGAATTTACCTTAGTTTTAATTTGAGTTATTAAATTTGATGTCAAGCAGAGTACATGATTGTTCTGGATTTCCTAGTAGTGAAATAAAAATAAGCATTTGAGAAATCCTATATAATAAAAGGCTACTATGTAAATTGTCCCCTCGGCCGGGAGTTCGGGAGTTTGGGAGTTTGACCAGGGGCAGGGCCAGCCGGCCAACTGCCTGTGGCCCCTCCCCCTGGCCAGCTGGCCAATTGGCCTTTATCAGGATGGGCCGGCTGGACCCCACCCATGCACAAATTCGTGCATCGGGCCTCTAGTATTATATATGAAAACACTTCTGATTTTGTTTCACTATTAGTTATGCAACACCATAATCCATGCATTTATTTCTATAAAACTACTCTACAGCTTCAAAGAACTGCCCTCATAAATTGCAGTTCAAAGGGACCACAGTTGTAGGGTGGGGTGGAGACCAATGCTAGGTGGAGGACCTTTTAAAAGAGAAACTAGTCACACACCCAACCTGCAGGGCTGATTCCATTTTTGATGGTCCCTCTGTATTACTTCCAAACTGGGCTCACCTGTTTTGCATCAAGCAGGGTCTTTTACCACAGGAAGTAGAAACAATAATTTCCTCTCCTTTTTGCCCTTCAGGTTGAAAAACAACTCAACTCAGAGACGCTCTTGCAGTGGACCAATCCCAGCACCATGGCCAATACCAAAGTCAAACTATCCATTCCAAAATTTAAGGTGGAAAAGATGATTGATCCCAAGGCTAGTCTGGAAAACCTAGGGCTGAAAAGTACCTTTGATGAGAGTACATCTGATTTCTCTGGAATGTCAGAGACCAAGGGAGTGGCGCTCTCCAATGTTATTCACAGAGTGTGCTTAGAGATAAGCGAAGATGGTGGGGATTCCATAGAGGTGCCGGGATCAAGAATCCTGCAACACAAAGATGAATTCAGGGCCGACCACCCATTTATTTACATTGTCAGGCACAACAAAACTCGAAACATCGTTTTCTTTGGCAAGTTCTGTTCTCCTTAAGTGTCAGAGCCCAGGTCAAGTCCCACCTGGCTTTTCTGTAAACTCTACAACCAGAGAATCCCTTTATAAACATGATAACTTGTTAATATTGCTGGAGGAGGAATGCCTTGGTGCTTGTTCTATGTAGCCTTCACACTAATAGGCCTTTTTCTCCCAATCTTTTCTTTTATGCCCCTTTCCTCCCATCAAAGACAATACTTTGAAGGAAAAGAAAATATGTATTCATTATTTGTTACACTATCTAGGGTTATGGGCAGATATACAGTTGTTCACAAAGAAAATTCCCATAAAGAGCTTTGCCTTCCTTCATTGGGATACAGAATGTTCCAGATGTTCTCACTTCCCTGAAAGGCTAAACAAACTGTGGTTTATGGGATCTGACAAACTTTCCTGGTTCCAGTGAAATGTGAGCACATGGTCAGGCTACTGTAGGTCCACAGCTCTTTATGCTAAACCCTGAGGGACAAATGTATTCTTCAAGCTCTGCCTTTGGGGGCTTTTAGAAAGATAATGTGTTGCACAAACTGTATGTTATGGAAGTCCATTGAAAGAGTCTGAAACAACATCCTATATAGAAGTCATTACCTTAATATTCCTGCCATAAAATGTATAATATTGACACAAAATGGATAAAGGTTTTGCTGACAAATGGGGTATGACACCAGCTCGTGAACAGGCTTTGTTTTTAGAACGTTTTGAGACTTTGGAATGTTGGCTAAGGAATTGCAGACCTAGCGTAGCTGACGTGCAGCCCCTCAAAGGAAGGGCAGATCTAATTCATTTTCACTTTTGATAGAATGACTACCTGGTCATTTGGTTGGGGACAGACTGATGGCTGGGGCTTCTGACTCAGCAAGGTTTTGGATCTTTGACAGCCAGGGCCTTAAAAAGCACAGGGACCCTCACGGTAGCCAATAAAGGAGTTTTATGAGTGTTGAAGGAACTTGCCTCTTTGTCTAATGTGGTAGTGGGGAAGGGAATGAAACTTACATCTTTAGAAAATATAACTAGAGCCATTGAAGTGCTCACGTGGCTTTGACATACTTTTTCTAAGACTGTGGGTTTAGTCACTATAGATAGCTAGTCAGTCACTTGCATTAATAGTAATTTTAAAAGTTGATCTGATAAGTTATCTATATTACAAGTTCACATATTAATTCACTATCAAAAGAGGACATTTACGAAGATTTTGTGACAACACATCCCCATCTCTTCCTTGTAAATAGGTTCCACTGTCTTCTTGCTCCAAAGGATTAATATAAAATTTCTTTTATGCTATTGACAATAAAATATTATTAAACTACATGTCTTGTTTTTTTCTCCATAAAGTTAGATTTACTATTTTGAAATAAAACCAAGCCATCTATTTATTAAAGCATTCCTTTACATAAATAATTTTTTGAGGGATTGATATAGAATAAGATTAATTACTGCCCTGTTTTCCTGTCTTCCTTTCTCTCTGCCCACCGGCTCTTGCTTCCTCCTCCCATCCTCTTTCATCCTGGGGTCAAGGCCCAGGAGAGTCTAGAAGGACTTTCAGCTACATACAAGTATATAATGAAATGGAGGCCTTTGGGTCCAGCCTCAAAATATAATTTTATCAAGTAAGCTGCATATGCTTAAAATGTTTTCTTATTAAGTACATTTTCCTTAATGCCATGTATAGTTGTTTTAAATTAGTTATAGTTTCCCTGAATCTAATATTCAACATAGTCATTTTCCAGTCCCCAAAGTGTGCCCAAATAGAATGTGTCCTCCCTTGCAATAAATGTTGAGTACCAAAAGTGACAAATGCCCCGCATTCTAACAAGAAAAGACCATTTGTGCATGATGGCTGGGAGTGGCCCAAACCACTCTTGGCTCCTTCTCCCCCTTCTCTAAGCTAGAAACAGGAAGTAGGGAGGACTGAAAAGCTTAGTAAGTATTTAGAGGGGAGATAGTGTCTCTTTAAGCCAAGTGTTCATGGGGCATAAAGTCTTTCCTGGAATTTAAAAGCACTGAATTTTTTTTGTTAACTCTTGCTTGGGATAGTCTAATCCATTGATTTTCAACCAAGGCCAATTCTGCTCCCTAGGGGACATTTTTGTAACAACTAGGGGGAGGGTGCTACAGGCATCTAGTGGGTAGAGTCAAGAATTTTGCTAAACACCCTACAATGCCTGTAACAGGAATAATCACACAACACCAATAGTGGGTGACTGAGAGACCTAGGATTCTACTGACCTAAAGGACAGATGCTGGCTGGAGGGGACCCTAAAGCAGAGCAAGGAGAACAACCTGGAGAGGCAGGTCCCTACTTGCTTCACTATACTGAGATGTGTAGGCAGCCAGGCTTGGTGATTTTGAAACTCTTCCCTGGAGGGGTGTGGGGTCTCCAAGGACCCCACAAGAACACCCCATGAAGAAGTTAATATTTGGTACCTCTGACACAGGATACTGGATTCCAGCAGTCAAGAAAGGTTCTTACCCCTCACCTCTCCTTCCTTTCCTGGCCCCACAAGTCGGGCCCTGTGGAAAGAGGAGAGGAAGAGCAAGGTGCATAAATGGTGAGGAAGCCACCTCCACTTCCATTCCCCTGTGGGGTTGTGAGCCCGAACCAGCTGTGGTGGATGGAGCCGCTCTCAATCAAAAGAACATTCTTCCCGACCGAGTGGCTCAGTGGTTGCGTGTTGACCTATGAACCAGGAGGTCACGATTCAGTTCCAGGTCAGGGCACATGCCCAGGTTGTGGGCTCGATCCCCAGTAGGGGGTGTGCAGGAGGCAGCCAATCAACAATTCTCCCTCATCATTGATGTTTCTCTCTCTCTTCCCCCCTCCCTTCCTCTCTGAAAAAATAAATAAAATAAAATAAAATAAAATAAAATAAAATAAAATAAAATAAAATAAAAAAAGGAATGACGTTCTGATTTAAAAGAATTCTGGGCTTTTTCACTTCTGAAAATGTCTTTGTTGATACATGAAAGTGACTAGCCCTGACCGGTTTGGCTCAGTGGATAGAGCGTCGGCCTGTGGACTAAAAGGTCCCAGGTTCGATTCCGGTCAAGGGCATGTACCTTGGTTGCGGGCACATCCCCAGTAGGGGGTGTGCAAGAGGCAGCTGATCGATGTTTCTCTCTCATGGATGTTTCTAACTCTATCCCTCTCCCTTACTCTCTGTAAAAAATCAATAAAAAACATTAAAAAAAAAAGAAAGTGACTGGAGGGCATTTAGTTAAGGGGATTTGGTCCAGGAGATGGGGAGGCAATTCAGCAGAATGGGTCTGGAAGGGCCCTGGAAACAAAGACTTTAGCTGCATTTCCTAGCACTCTGCCAGTCCAGTCTACCAACAAACTGGCCGCAATTACATTGTCTCATTTACTCATCACAACACATATATGAGGAGGAAACCGTGACACTGTCTTATAAGTGAGGATACTGAGACACAGAATAGCTGTATAATCAGCTCAAGGTCATAGAGCTAATGGAAGCTGATGCCTAGGTTTGACCTCTGTTCGACTGAGCCCAGAGCTATAGCTCTGACCTCTGTACTTGATGCCCTCATTTTCCAACTGTCACTCAGCCTTGACAGATGGCCACTGAATGTACCTGGAAGAACTCCTCTCTCCTCTATGCCTTCTCTAGTTTGGAATTCTCAAAGATCCATCTCGTTCTGGTAGTCCGTTTCTGTCAACCAAAACATCTATAGATGTAACTGCCTGATTAGGTCCATTTGTAGAGCCTCTTTTGAGGGCCAGATGGTGTATGTGAAGGTGCTTTATGGACGTTACTCCATTTGCTCATTTTCATAATAACCCTACTGATAGGGGCTAGTTCATCTATTCATCTATTTCATGAGGAAATATGGGCTCAAAGGAGTTGATAAAGGACCAGATTGGTAAACAACAGGATTTGGCTGCAGCTCTGTCTGACCCTAAAGCCCACATTCCTTGCACTATGACTTACGGCCTTTGGATCATACATTGGGGCAGGCTCCTCTGGATGGCTTTAAAGTCTTGTATCACATAGGCCCCCTGGCCACCCACTGTTGCCAAAACAATCAGTTTGTCCCTGTTCTTCAGGAAAAAACAAAACAAAACAAAACAAAACAGAAGACAAACTGCTCCTCCCCAGCAGGACATCAGGAGCAGTAAGGCCTCTTTCCTGCCCTGAGAGCCCAGGCTACCTGGCGGTCACTGACAGATGGCGGACTTCTGACTCAGATGGCTGGGCCCAGAAAGCACTGAGGAGGAAGTGGGATTTTGGAAGGGCCTGGAGCCTCAGTCCCATGTGGATGGACAGAGTGGGGGAAGGGAGCCCACAAGGAGAGGCGTGTGCTCATTGGTTATGGAAGGAAAACAAAATGATGCACATGGGGCTCAGAGTGGTTGTGGAACCTGAAGGAAAAAGCAGGAGTTCAGATTGAAATTGTGGTTGTGTGACGAGCACTGGTGTCCAGGTGGTCTGATGATGGCAGTGGCCAAGGCTGAGGTGTCAACATCAGAGCTGCCTTGCAATGGTCCTAACAAAATTGGAGCTATAAAAATATTACCTCTATCTATCTACACACACACACACACACACACACACACACACACACCTACTTCAGAATGGGATTACTGAGTCATACATGATACAAATATTCAGTTTTGGTAGATACTGCCAAAGAGTTTTCCAAAGTGGTTCTCCTTAATTATTATTATTAATGGTTACTATTATTTCTATTTCTCATGGATTGTTATTTATTGTTTTATCTTTTATTATTAAATAATAATTATTGATTTCAAAAAATAATATTATCTTAAAATAATTATTACTAATGATTACTTTTCCAACTAGGAATCTTCTCAACCCCACTGCCAGCATGACACGTTACAAATTCAGTTTCCACAACAGTCCTACGAGGACCTGCCTGAGGTGGAGGGCACTGAGAGGAGAGACACGAAGAAACTTGCGAAGCACACATGGCTGAGTTGTGTGGTTAGGGTTTAACCTCCGACTCTGATTCCAGAGCCCACACGTTTAATCTCTATGTACTTGATTACATTAAAACTTTTTACTTGGTGAACTAACCATTTACCTACAAGGGCAGATTTACTTCTGTTTATGTTAAAAATGAAATATTAGGTTAAATACAAGACAATGAATGTAGATAAAGATAAGTCTTAGCTAAATCTTTATAGAATAAGCAAACTTTCGAGGAGTGTTTACTTTTCAAACATTTCTGATTAAGTCTAATACGTTTTCTGCAATTCTGAGCTTTTCCCTCAGGGGTCATATTCAGTCAACTGTATGGCATTTGCTATTCCCACCAGATTTGAAAGGCTTCCTTTTTTTAGTTTTAGGACTTTGAACTGGTTTCTACAACATTCTTGCCCTCCACCCACCCCACTGATGTGAAAGATTGAATAGATGGGCATTTCCCTGTTCAATGGCTTCCTCCCTGTCTCTGTCCTCCACCCGGACAATAGCAGCTGCTTGAATTTGTGAGGCCTTTCGAGTGAGGAGATCAAAGTGTCCTACTGACAGTAAACCACTGTTCTTGACCCAAGTCCTAGAACAGAAAAAGTAGATGGCCTCATTCTCCACTAGGGATAAGATACTTGTAGGCATGTCCCTTGCTATACCTATGTAGCCTAGACGGAGCCTCCTCATTTGTCCCATAAGCCCATGGAGCAGAGAGTTAAATGGCAGTTGCCTGGGGCAGGGAGGTGGGGGAAATGGGGAGTTGTTCAATGGATATAAAGTTTCAGTTATACAAGACTAGGAGCCCAGCGCACGAAATTGCACGGCGCCACCCATCCTTGAGTTGCCTTGAGCTGGTCCTGCCTTCTCCAGGCGCCTCCCCGCTTCCGCCCCGTCTCCAGAGCAACGTGGCAGCTCTGCCGCATCATGGAGCTGGAGGAGAGCGTGGAAGCCTCCTGCCTGCTGCACTGTGCTCCTTCCTCTGGCAGGTGGGTGGCGGGGTGCTCTGAGTGCAAGCGGTGGATGGCAAAGGACTGGTGAGGGGGGCACTATGGGCTCTCACCCCAACCCTCCCCAGCATGGGATGGTCCTGCCTCCTCTGGGCCCCTCCCCACTTCCACCCCGTCTTTGGAGCCATGCCCAGTGGCTTGAGCAGACAGCCTCCTGCTGATAGGAGCTAATAAAGAGCTAATATGCTAATGGTCCGGTCGTGATGCATTACGGCATCCTGGCTAATTTGTATATATATATATTCGAAATCTGCCATACAACATTGTGCCTCTCCTTAATAAGATGGTATTGTGCACTGAAAAATTTGTTAAGAGGGTATATCTTATGTTAAGATTTCTTACCACAGTTAAA